ATCTTGAAAAAGCAATCAACTAAAGGTGTTTTCCAGGGCTGTGCCACATGAACCAAATAAAATGAATTTTTAATAGCAACCTGCCATGGCTAGAAGCACAACTTGGGCTGTGGCGTCCCAACGACATGTCCATCTTTGGGTCACTTTAATTATTTATCCGTCGACAAATTCGACAGGAGCGTGCTGGTGTCTGGCTTGGGGTTAGAGGTGGTAAATATTAGTATCTCTGCCACATCCGAGCATCCGAAAAATGCCAGCCACTTGCGGCAAGTGTGAAAAGCCCGCTCGGGGGAGGCCAAAACTTGTTATCCATCATCGCCTGGCGGGGGAATCTAATTAGTTCATTCATAATTGAGGGCCGCTGCTCATCTCGGGAGGCGCTCGTCTGGAGGAGGAAAATCCCTACTTAATGTCACACACTTTTCCGCGCCATCAGGCGCTCTCATTTGCATTTAATGCCCTCGCATAGAGGCTGGGGCCTCAATTACGACGGTTTTGACAGCCAGACACATGTGTGTCTGCGAGAATTTTCCCATTCCCGGCTTTCGACTTCGTTTAATTAAGCCGAAATTTCAACAACGAACACAAACACACATGACAGCTGTCTGCAGGAGCAACTCCTTCTTGGAATTCTGCAGGATGTGCCTGTTCGCCTGCCCTGCAATTGTCAACGGGCATTGACAGCCCAGACAATGGCCAACAGATGAGAGATAGCCGACTTTTGCAATTGTCACTGCAGTTAGCATCTGCTCACATCACCTTGGCTTCTATTTCCCCCAACTTTTCCGCACATTTCCCCATTGCATAACGAGGCGGCAACTGTTGGCTTGAGTAAAACTTTAAGTTCTGTTGGAAAGTTTGCGCAAAAGCAAACAATAAATATTTGCTCGGCGCATAAATCAGCTGTCTAGGCTCTAGCATTATCGCTACTACGTGAGATCCCCTTTGGTAAATGGTAAATGTTTTCTTCCTACGACTTGCCAAGGGACGCCCACAGCATTTCTTGTTTATTGTAAGAATTTAAATGTATGCTAAGCAGCAGGGAGCAGCGACTTTGGCTGATTTTGCCCACCCAGTCGGGTTCAATGCTCCCCGAAAAACCCTAGGCTGGCGAATCGTGTGGGCAAAGTTCAAAGTGCAGGGAAATTGAAAATTTATTATTGCACTGCACCAAAATTGAGAAAATTGAGAATTGATTTTGTGAAAGCCAACAGGAAAATCACGTTGAAAGCTGCAGGGAAATGGAAAAAGTATGATTGCACTGAACGAACAAAGAGAAATTTGTATGAATAGATTTATAAATCTCTGCCAGAAAATAAAGAACAGTTTGAAATGGTTTTATATATACCTACTAGGTACTGTAAAAAATTGTATTCATCAATTTCATTCGAAATTTATGTTAATACAAAATGCACTTAAGCTGATATAATAATGCAATATTATAAAAAAAATTATTATATATTTAAAATAAATTATTACACATTTTAAATAAATTATTATATATTTTCAGTAGATTATAATATAATTTAAATACATTTTCATAGTGTATAGATTGAAAATTTCTTAAACGTTCGACAAGGAAATCGCATTATACATTCAGAAATGCTCTTTGAACCGAAAAGGAAGCTGAGGCATGGCAGTTATGTTTTCCCCAGGACCTCCGCCATTGTTGAAGAGTTTTCGGTCTAGTAATTGTACAGAGCACTCAATTAACAACTATGCTGTGCCCGGGAGTCATGTGGCACTGGTTGTGTTCAGTTTTGCTTAGTTCTGTTCTGTTCTGTTGTTTGTTATCGTTGCTACTCGTGTTGCCGTAGGCGGAAGTGCTCAAATGACACTGTAAAGTAAAGTAAAGTGTGGAGCTCGGCGAGTCCTTTCGGTGGCATTCGCTTATTATTCAGCCTGTCTGCTCGTCCTTTTCCACTTGTAAATCACACTACTTCCGCCTACCCAGACGGCCAGACAATGGACAGACAGTCGGACAGGTGGGCAGCAATTCCGCCTTTTGTTGTTGTCCTGCCAACAGGCTTTGTGCCCCATTATTGTATGGCCTCTAGCAGGTGTCTTTCGTGTATGTGTGTGGTGTGTAGGTTTAGGTGCCTTTGGGTGTGTGTTGACGTTTAATCAACGCATTGTGCCAGTTAACTCTGCAAACAAAGCCCAAGCACCCAAGCGCGATCCTAGCTAGCCTGGTATTTCTCACAAGCCCTCCTCTTAAGTCAGTGTCCTTTTTCCCTCCCAACTATTGGAGGCCTTCGGGGAGCGCGGACCACGAACATTTGTTGTCCACTTTTATTGCCAATTAAATGCAGTAACTGCTGTCACAGTTGTGTTCCTTGTACCCTGCCTCCCTTCCCTTTTTTCCCTTCCCCCAGCTGTTTAAATTTATTTTAGCACACACTTGGCAGATGCCTTGTTTATACTTTCTCTTTGCGCGCTGTTCCGTGAAAGCATCTAAATTTCCGCTTATGGCTCTCGGACTGGGAAAATGGGTTTTAAACCGGAGTGCGATTTAAAATACTTTTTAAACATTTTTAAAACTAACAACAAACTGTACATAAAAAAAACCGCCGAGATCAAATCAATATGCGCATGGTAAATTACTGGTATTTATATGCATATTATTTTTACGATGCAAACCCGATTTCTCTCCCTCTCTGACTTCAAAAAAAAGTTAACAACAAGCAAAATGGCGACTTAAATTACTTCAGTGGAAGCGAGAATAACTTATTCTTTCAATTCAAAATAGATCGAGCATGTCAAAATTGATAGTACATAACATCAAATCGATCATCGTTTCATATCAAGTTTATTTTGGGTGTGCATTAAAGAACTTATTGATATTATTTTTAAACTAAATGTGTAATAACAAACCAAAAATGCTGTTTTCTTTAAATTTTTAAATAATAATAAGATAAAATGAAAACTGGCCTTTGTCGATTTCTGTTTAATAAAATTTTATTCCGAAAATTGAGAATGTATTTTTTAATGAGAGGAGGTGGAAAGCCACCCCTCTTAATGGGAGGAAATTGGCATTTCATTTTGGTGCAAGAGGAGATCGGCGAGTCACGCTTTCACTTCCGCGCTGTTAACTGCTTTTTAATGATGCCCGCGCCTTCGGTAAAGAAGCAGCGACATGAACATAAACATTAACATCAGTATAATGTTCGGCCGCATTACTGAATCTGTGCAGCAGCTGTTGCTGGTGATTTTAATGAAAACTCACTTGACATGAGAAGACATTTCGTGTAATTTTTATAATCTTAAGTGTCTTTTATTGTCCGGCGCACTTCACTCGTAAGTTAATGTTGTTTACTGTTCATTTATGGTCCATTTCACGTGGCAGTCCCTTTGCGCAACCCTATCCTTGTGTACTTAAGAGTTCTGCTCCACTGGTGGAATCAATAGGGTTTATGAATAAATAATCGCACTTTAGTGCATTTATATTGCCGCCTAGAGCGCTAGTTGCTTTGATCCAGTTAAATATTTACGCAATTTAACTAATGTGCCGAGTGGCCAAGCTTGCCTTAATCTAAACATGAATAAATTAACCATTGACAAATAGAATAGTGCATGAAATTGCGCATACGTCCTGTTGCGCGCGGCCCATAAGTATGCTACATTTGCGGCATTCTATAACCGCAGTTGAGCCGATTAAACTAAAGTTTCCATTTCAAACAATTAGCAACTTTAAATTTATTAAGCTGCTTATGCACACGTGCAGCGAAAACGAATTTAATTAAACAAAAAGTTCTTTCGGCGAGGAGCTGGGAGAAAAGTCTGAATGGCAACAGGGAAAATATTTATACGGCGTCGGCAGTTTAATGTTTGAATTAATTAATTGCATTTGTCAGCGGTTTCGGGTCTGCTTTTGAGCTTTTTTATTATGGCTTTCATTATGGTTATTTGTACATTCCCGTGGCAATAACGCACAAAGGATACGCCAAGTGAATACGCGACCAGCTTCAGGCACTTCGGATCCTCCGAATCCCTCGAATCCTTTTTTCCTCTCCAGAGTAATTGCACTGTAATGCCGAGCCCTTCCGTATTAATTAATAAATTCATTTACACAGCTCAATTGTTTGGGGTGCGTGTGAGTGGGCGGTTTGGCTCAATCGAGTAAATAGTTGGAGCCACCAAAGCAAAGGCAACCGCCGGAATGCCAACATGTCTGGTTGCCCAAAAGCAAAAGAAACCGCAAGACAAATTCCGACTCAAAGTTGCCACAAACAGATGGATAGATAGAAACATATATATGAGTGTGTGGGGCGGAAGGCGCTTAGTGAAACAAATTAATTTCATTACGGGCTCTGGCAATTTTCTTGAAATTTTGTCAATTTTAATTATGAATAATGCCAGCCCGCTTCCACGGGCTTCTTCGAGGGGCTGGCGTCCTGCGGTCCTGCCACAGATGCCACAAATGATTGATAGTTTTTTCGTTTGGCCAAGACATGCGTGCCACAAGCAGCCAGGATGACAGCAGCAGGAAAATGAATGGAGCAAAGTTCATAGAAAACCAAAGCAGATGCCGGGCTAATTAAAGTCGAAAAACATTTCACAAATTTAATTAGTTTGTGGGTGGAGAGATCAAAGACAAGGGGAAAGCCACAATTCAGCCATTTAGTAATAGAAAAGAAAATGTACAAGTTTAATATCATTATTTAGATTCTATTTTATAAATGTAGAATTGATTGTACTTATTGAAAACTACGTGCAACCCAAAAAAACTTGATATGAAACGGTGATAAATTTGATACTAAATGGTATTAATTTTGACTTGATATGCGGCATCTCAATTTGATAAGCTCGAGATGTAAACAACATGTTCTTATGTGTCCATACTAAAAGTTTACCATGCGCATATCGATTTGATCTGGGCTTGTTTTTTTTGTGTGTAGTTAACTGTATTTTAACTGTAATTTTAATTAAGACAATTTATAATAATATTTAATATCCTTAAACTCAATTTAACAACCCGTTCGAAACTCGTTCCATTGCAGTTGACATCGTTCTACAATGAGAGCAGCTGGACAAATGCCTCTGAAATGGATACAATAGTTGGTGAGGAACCGGAGCCGCTGTCACTTGTGTCAATTGTAGTTGTTGGTAAAGTAAATGTCGTTGAATGTACAGCAAGAGCCACCCGCCACCACCACCACCCACTGCCACACTGCATTGCACCACCCATCGACCCACCGAACCACTCCACCACCACCACTTTCACAGCTATCTCACGGACACAACAATTATCTGTAAAATTGCATGTTGCATGTGACAAACACATATCACACGCACACACCCTCACGCACATCGATGTTCACCGGCCCATATAAGTATGCTTTAACCGATCATTGTTGGGAACGATGGAATGATGGGATTCGATGGCCACCTCGACTATATGGGTGTGATATTTGATTTGGACTCGCCGCAGGCATCTTCCTATCGGTGCTGATATTCCTCTCGGTGGCCGGCAACATCCTCGTCTGCCTGGCCATCTACACGGAGCGCAGTCTGCGCCGCATCGGCAATCTGTTCCTGGCCTCGTTAGCGATTGCGGACCTGTTCGTGGCCTCCCTGGTGATGACCTTCGCCGGCGTCAACGATTTGCTGGGTGAGTATATCGTATATCCCTAACCCAGGCAGCCATATCCCTAATGCCGTCGGTAGCTCTGTCTGGGTAATGGAAAATTGCAATTGAAATTCGCTTTAGCCAGCGATGAAATTTATGCAAAATGCTGCTGGCTGTTTCGGTGTGAACAAAAAATAGGGAGCCCACGAGGGTGTTGCTCCACTCAGCCATCATCCGCGCAACACTCGAGCCCATTTGACATGCCTGGCAGCGCTTAAAGCCGGATTTTATGTGGCTTTGTCAATGCCTTTTAAAGTGTCAGCTGCACAAGTCGACGCACGAGTTACCCGGGCTTTCCACTTCCGAGTTTTTTCAGTTTTCCCACTGAGGAGGGTCCATTGTGATTGCACAAGATTTCCGCCGTGCCATATACCAGAAACGAGGGCTGCCTTGGCATTTTTTAAATAAATAAAGACTCGGTTTATGTTGATATAATAAGCCAGGATCCACTTAAAGTCCGCTGAAATATTAATGAAATTTTTTTAACATGCAGTAATGCCTTAACTTCCTCTATTTAAATATTTTTTCAAGATTTATTTAAAGCTCACAAAATGAATAAGTCATCTACTTGTTACATGAAAAAGAAAATTAGGAAATGAATATATAGTTTAGGTATATAATGTGTTTATTTTCTTAAGTTTTTTCTGTAACTTGGCTAAAAATGTTCCTAAATCAGTGTTGCTTACCGTTTTGATAAATTGATCTCCATCACTTTAAGGCTTATTTAGAAAAATTCATTTGTTGGCAATTCTTACATTTTTTATAACGATGTAATATATTTCATATTAGAACTGTTGTTTTGATCAAAATACTGATTTTTGGTTAGAAAATCCGGAAATGGGCCTTTGATAAAAATAGGATTTTTTGTCTGCACTTTTTTCTTGTCTTTAAATTGTCGTAAATCTGAACTGAGTTACTAAGCTAATAAAAATTTAAAATTTAATTTTAAGCTATATTTTGTTTGGGAAATAATGAACAAAAAATTAATCTTAAATCAAATTATTTTAGTCTAAATTTTGCAACTATTTTAAATTCCTATTAATTTAAAGCGGACAATAAAAATAATACATACTATGTATTACATACATATAGGCGAACTATTTCGCTGACCCTCGACACCCCTTCGGTGGACAAATGGTTATAGTCAGCCAAACAGGAATTTCACTTTATTCCAGCTGTACATCTGCTGCCGTCTAACATGCAGATCCCGAGTGCAACCACACATTCTGATTATTTTCCATTAGCCATTCCGAGAACAGCAATAGCAATGGCAGTCATTCCTTGAGTTATCCTGCCAGTGGAATTGCTGCACTCCCCGCTCCGCTACTTTTCCCTGACAAACTTTGCCTAGCTGCAAGTCCTCAAAGTGGTGGGATGGCGTTGGCCCAGTTTCAAAAGTCCCTCTCCTGAAACCCCCTTTGAAGTGCCGTTTATGGGTGCATTTTATTAATTCCAGCGGCTGCGGAGAAACGGGAAACTCGAGATGAGGACTTGACGGGCCAACATTGGCTAAGTAAATAAGAGGCAAATTAGGCGAGAGGCGGGCAAAACTTTTCCATGGAACAGAAAGCAGGGAGCAGGGAAACGGGAAACGGAATCAGGGGTAATTGGGGGATCGAGGAGCCGAGCTAACAACGTGTTCCGGTTCAGGAAACATGCAGCTGACATCAATGTGTAAGGACTCGTACACAACGCTGCAAAAAAGTGGAAAATCATAAACAGCAAACAAAAGAAGAAAACTGCGAGCTTGTCATATGAGTCTGAAAATGTGAGCAGAATCCAAAGCGATGCGATGTGGTGATGGTTAGGTGAAGTGAAGTTGGAAAAAAGGGAGCTGAGGTGAGGTGACACATGTTACCCATGCGATGCAGTGGCGTAAAATGGGATTTTCTACTTGAAGATTAAAAAAAAAAACTAAATAAGTAAATCTATAAAAATATTTAGGAAAAAAAATCTTTTAAAAGAGGTCGGAAAAATTTGTTTAACTTCTTGGGCCCCTTTTAAAAAACTCCGAGTACGCCTCTGCAACCACCCACTTTGCCCCGCGAGTGTGTGAAAATAATAAACGACTTTGGCACTCTGAGGAGACGAGTGGCGATGGCGCTGCCGCGTTAGCAAAAGTGTGAAAAAATAAATAAAAATGCTCAGCTGCTCAAGACAAACAGATGCCTCAGGGTCCTGCGACACCCACACTTCCAAACACACACGCACCCACACAGAGGCAAATTATTTTCGCCAAGGCAACATTTAGCACGCTCGAAGACAGGCAAATCAGCAAATAAACATCGTACGCAATTGGACAAATTCAAACAACAACAGAGCCGTCGAGAACCGACAGATGCTGCCAGCCCGAAAGCATCGAAAAAACATATAGCATATACTTTTTGGCCAAGAGCAATTCATATGCGTACATATACGTCGGTGTGTATTGAAAGCGGCATGAATTATTTGCTGACTTGAAGTTACCACTCCCACGTACCCCCAGTATTTCACCTCCTAAAATAGCTTTTTTTTGGGGCCAAGAGCATTTCGGCAAAGCTGAGTTTAGACATGAAATGAGGTACCAATGTTGAACAGAGCACTGTAAAGTATTTAAGGATCTTGAAAGTATTTATTAGTTGCTTTGACAAGAGCTTCAACAATTTTAGTTAGTTTAGTTAAAGATTAAGATTTGGTATTATTAATACCTATTAATATTAATATTAATATATTAATATCTACTAATATTATTAACACCTATCGAAATGTAGAAGAACATTTTAAAATCGGACCCTCCATTAAAAATGTTATGAGTAAAAATTTAAACAGCCGCTAGATGGCGTCAGTACCTTTGACGACTGTATATCTCCATCTCCCTCGCACTCCCTTTAGCTGAGTAACGGGTATCTGATAGTCGAATTACTCGAATTACATTAATTAAAAGCGTTACGAAGTGAAATTTATTACTGCTGACTGGCTGCTCGAAGTTTGATATCCTGATATTCTTTTCATATCCTGATGCCTGATGGCTGAAGGCTGAGCAGGATCGAATCGAATTGAATCGACTTTGCTTTGACCAGTTGCGTCGGCACTTCCGGTGGCATTTAAGAGCCGTATCCTGTCGTTCGCTTGATTAACTGGCTTGAAAGCGGTAACGAGCATGATATGCACATTCTTATCGCCCCAAATCATCGGTCGAAAGCCACAGCACGAATAAATAACCTTTTTGTGCGGCAAATCTGTTATTGAATACATGCGTATATCAGCGGTGATTTATTTTATTTTTCATGTGGCGAATTACGTTTTTCCCAGAACTCAAAGGACATCCGTTTCTGGTCAGGCACGGAAGAACATCAATCGACTACGGCGTAATTGCAACGCACTTATGAAATTGCCAAGCGGCCGAAAAATAAATTATTTGTTTTCACTTTTGGGCGGGCGAATGAAATTTAAATAGCGCACGGCCCAAAAGGAGACCCACATGTGTGAGAGTGCACGGGAAAGTGAAGGACAGGAAGCGGAAATGAATTTATGAAATCATTTAAACTCAATTTACGTAGTGAATAAATAAAACAAGAATCTGGCGCCTGTGACACTGGTTGCCTTTGCACCGTTTCTGTTGCTTTTCCGCTTTTCCTGGCTGCATTTTCTTTTTTTTTTTTGTTGCTGGCGCCCGTGCAAATGAAACAACTTTTTTGTGCTGTCCGGCCGCAACATGGCAATTTCCGCCACGTCCAGACAGAAAGTACTTATTAAGCATTTTAAACAAGCAATCAAACACTCGCTCACCCCGCTCTCCTCCTTGCAACCTTATTTTTTCACAGGATATTGGATCTTTGGAGCGCAATTTTGTGATACTTGGGTGGCCTTTGATGTCATGTGCTCGACGGCGTCAATTCTGAACCTGTGCGCCATCTCGATGGACCGCTACATCCACATCAAGGATCCGCTGAGGTGAGTGATTGTCAGGATTCCTGTCACATGCATAAAATATCCAATCCATAACTAATTGTCCGGGCTGTCCGAAGTTTGAGTTTGACGATGGCACGATGGAGGAGCGACGGCCGCGTATCGATTCATTAATGTCAGGCCATTGCAGGTGCTTTGTATGCACGTTACTCATACGCCGCGTTAACATGCCTGTCACGTTTTTGCGCTGCCACGACTGCTCCTCATTTTCACCGCCACGGCACTCGAGTTCTTTATGGCATTATGGGGCTCATTAATCGACGCTCATAATTGTTTCATTAGTAACAGATTTATGGCGCATTACGAGGGTTTTTGCACTTCTCCGACGAAGACTTCATCTTCAAGTTGGCTAAGCACTTTTGGATCAGCGTTTCAGCTGTGGTTCTGTGGGGGTGAACTTCAACCAAGTTCAGCCGAGTCATTCTCATTGGGTCTGTGGGTCAGGCCAACAAAGAGTAACAAAAGAAGTGTCATTACCAGCTGGCAAAAGTGGTGAAGTGGCAGTTGGGGTTGCTCTATCCAGATTGGAGGGACGATGTTGTTATATGAAATAGTACGATTTCTTTGATAAGAGAAGAGGGCTAACAATAATTACAAAAAGTTTAATTAAATAGTAGTATTTCTGACTTCGGGACCTCAATCTGCAGTGAAATTATAGCCATTAATATTTTGTTAATTATTTACTATATTTTCACCCCTCTGAAATCTTAGTAGAGTTGTAGATAAATGGTTAAAGCTCTGAAGTTGTTAAATGAATTAAACAGTAAAATATTTATAAACTTTCATTGCTTTGCAAACTCTCAATACCTAAAAAATATAACCAATTTTATTAGTTAATTTTAAATATACGAGTTAGGGCTGTAACGTGTTTTTTTTTAGAAAGTATTTCAAACTTAATATATTTAAATCACTTGCAAGGGTATGCACAAATGATTATTTCTGGTTATAGCTTGGATAACTTTAGATAAGGTTATATATACTACTATACTATACCTCAGCCAAAAACTTTTAATTTTTCTCTAGTTTTATTAATTGAGATTCCTTGGAAAGTACTTTAACCTTTGACCAGCTGGCCTACATATCGCCTTTTTCACACCCGCTGGAAATGACTTCATCTGTCGGCGGGCTGAAGGCTGCCCAAATGTTCCATTGTCGCAGTTCAATCTACCTTGTATATCCGGCACGTTGCTCCAGCTGCGCTATCCCGGCAGGAAGCCCCAGAGACAATCAAATTCTGCTGCCTCAGGTGCTGTGTGTCCTTGTGTACACTGGGTATCTGGGTATCCGTGTGTATCTGTATCTGTGTGCTCCTTCGACTACGACAATGACAATGAGCTTGTCCTGCTGTCGTCGTGGCCTAAAACGCTGCCAGTCAGCCATGTTAGACTGCTTTGTAGTCAGCAGTCGGTAGTCAGCAGCTGAAATTGATTTCCAGTGGCGAGCAATTCGGACAAAAGCAGTCCAGTCAGTCGAAAGTCAGCTCGGTAAACTTGAAACTAGTCTATCAAGTGCCTCCCTTCGCCAGCAGCCCTCCTGTCACTCCCCATTTTCCCCTTTTCCGGCTGGACCACAACAATTGTGTGTTAATTAAATTTTCAACAATGCCTCGGACCCCACAAGTGCAATCCAACAAACGCTTTTTTGGCATACGAATATTACATTTGCGGCCAAGAACAAACGCACAAATTTATTATGTGTCAGCAGCCACAACTGAATTCCTTCATATGTGGGTTTTTGAGTGGGTAAACCTTTGTCTGTGCGCTTTTCTATTTTATTTTTTGACCTGTTGGCACTGAAAATAATATTAGAATTATTGTGTTTAATTAAAATTGTTGAAGCAATCACTTAGTCCATGAAAAGACAAACATGTTTGATATAGCAAAACGTTCTTTAGCAAAGTGTCAAATTTGTTTTTAGTTTTAAAATAATCAGAAATATATTTTCGACTTCTAAATTTAAGGAACTTGTCTTGTCAATTCTTGAAAATGTAATTCTCACAACTTGAGATACAAACCTTAAAAATATAATTCTCACAACTAAACAATTTATTTAAGGATTACAAAATTAGACAACTATTTTTGCGACCTAAAAAAATATTATAATGATGAATTTATGGTTATTAAATAGTATTATTATTTTTTCCAGTGCATAAGAGTTGTGTTAAAAATGACGTTGGTCAAGTCGCTGACAGACGCCGAGCGAGGAGTTGGCTTAGAACGGAGCGACCCGACGAAATGATTGCATAAGGCCTTTGGGGAAAAAGGAGATTGTTGCGGGCGTGTAAACGGTGGTGGGGTTAGGGAGGGGAAAGGGGGAAAAATGGAAAATGGACAACAGGGGGCAACTACAGCAAATCGAGACAGTTGCCAGCCCTAACCCACAGCGCCATGTCATGAAAGAGCCATAATAAATCCTTTGATGCTATTTTCAGCCAAAAGCCAAAAGTAGAAAAATATTTTTTCTACACCGCCCCGCCGGCTGTTGGCTGTTGCTTTTGCTGTTTCTGTTTGCCACCTGGGGTAAGCTTATTCGCTTATGGAAAACGACACGACATTTGTGCTGGATGTACGTATGTATGGGTGTGCCAGCAGCTGCCCCTCCCCCCAACCAGCTGAATTTTCCGCCCATTTTTCCATCTATCTGTGCATCTTTTGTGTGGCAGGGTTCACGTAACGAGTTGGCGAGCATATAACGCTTCATTGATGTGGCAAGTTGATGTCGAGGCGAGCTGAAAATTCAGATTGCAAATTTTGTATGCCACGGCAAAAGGATTTAAATGAGCTCAGGGGGGGTAAGGGGGTGGTGAAAGGAGCAGAGGGAGTCCTCGCAAATGACAGTTTTCATGAAATATTTTTCCTGATTTCGAATTCCGTTTGTCCTACGGGAGCGGGTAAGGTACAGACAGATAGATAGATGGAATCGAAGGTGAAATTAAGCACGGCGAAGAGATAGATTTTCCACAGGAGGAAAGCGTTTCATGCTCGACATCGGATGGTTGATGATGGGTGAACATCACAAATTGCTCGATTGATCTGGATGTATTGAGGGGGTTCGGTTCTCAACTTTACATTTGGTTCATGCTTACATTGCCAAATGATGCAGCTGCAAAAATATCTCTTAAAGAACACAAAATACTGTATTGCTGAGTAAATAATCATTTTAATAAATCAAGTGTTTTTACCAGAAATCAAAGGCTTAATACATCAGCGGAATATAATATTTTTTAGCATTCAATGTAATCAAAGAAAATTATTTTATTTTTAGACTTACTTATAGAAATAAATAGTTGGAAAGCTTTTCATGTTTTCTTTTGATTAGCCAGATAATAAAGAAATAAATAAATAATTGAATAATTAATTAAATGCAGATACGATAAATAAATTATTAAATTTATAATTTAATATTTTCATCTATAAATTTTCTCATATGAGCATAGCTGCGCATTTGTAATTGATTCGACTTTAAATTTCCCTTTGGCTGATTCGCAAACTCAATGATAAATGTAACCGTAATGTAAATGGCTCCCATCAAACGCTGATTAAGGCCGCCTAATGCTGTCCAATATTAATTTGAGCCCTTGGGTTAATGACATTTGCATAGAACCCCCCTCAGACTTTGAGTCCGCTGGCCATCGCCTGGAAATTGAGTTTAGCCACCTGGATTCGTTTGCATTTGCACCTTGGGGCGGAGCTCGCAGGTTCCACCGTCCTCATAGAACCTTGTTCAGGTACCCGAGACATTTTACACTTCAGATGTCAAGACGTCGCTCACACCTCGCTATGTGCTCTTTGAATCTGAATCCGAGACTCAGTCTGAGTCTGAATCTCAAGGAGCTGAACTCAACTGGCGGCGGGAAAATTGCAGTTGCCAGCTTTTGTGTTTGTGAGAAATGGTTACCGAGATCCTTGGGATACATATATATACCTAGTGCTATGCCCTGTCCGACTCCAGACTCCCTCTTTATGTAAATCTGATTTATTTGCATGTCAAAGTGGAGGCAGCAGCGCTGTTTTTATTTCCAACCCCCCCTTCTTAGCAGGGGCAAAGTTCACGCGCCGGCGTCTCATTAGGAGTCGAGAGCCACCACCCACAGGAACGGGATTCTAGAAGCATTCATCTAGGACCTGTCCCTCGGCTGACAGAAGGAATCGCTGATTCAGCCTGTTTTCTTAGCGTTTTAGAATAATTGCAGGCGTTTAATTTAATTGCGCTCGCCTGGATTTTCCGAGCCGGGAAATTGGCAAAAACAATTTGGATAAAAAGCGCGTGCAAATTTAATTAGTAGCAGACAAAGTGAAGATGAAGCGGCAAACTCCCCCGCTTTTCAGCCCAAGCAAAAATAACGAAAATGAGAAATTTTCGTATTTTATGTGACAAGTTGATGCCTCTGCCTCTGCCGTTTTTCCTTTTTCCTTCTTGGTTTTTTCACTTTTTGTTGGCTCTGTCGTTGACTTTGGCGCCTGTCATCATCGTAACTGTCAGGCGCATATGTGAAATTCATTTTAAACTGCAATAAAAACTGAAAGAACAATGAAAGTTTGCCGCAGGCAAAAGGGGACTTACGTAGGAGAAAGAGGAGGCGTTTTGATGGGCGGTATAAGGGTTTTGGCCAACAACCGAAGGCACAACACTTAAACGCACACCGCAAAACCTGTTCCAGCAACAATGACGCACCTGGGAACTTTTTGTAATTGTGTTTTTCCACTTGTCCTGGTCGTGGTTGAGGAAATGTTACACCGAACTATGGGGTTGGACCCCTTAAAAACAGAAATAGGAATCATTGGGGACTCCTAGGGAGTTTTTATTGTGCAAGATTGAAAATTGATGGGGGGTTTGATAAATCAATGAAGTACAAGTGGCGTTCAATTTTATTCAGTAAGAAAATCATTTTAAATTATCCCTGAGCTGATTTATCAGTTAAACTACTGAAAGGTTCTTTAAAAAGACTAGGAATTTTACAAACTTTCCCCCTGAATGCCTTTTGAACTTACTGAACTACAAGTAAAAAAGTTCATATCAAAAAGTTTACTTCAAGTGTCTATTTTTACGTGATTTGAGTTTTTAGATTTTGAATTTTTGATATTATCACATTCATTTAGTTTAGAGAAAGTTATTTTTTGTGTGTCTGGAATAATAATTAATTTACCTCCTTAATATTCTGGACTACTGGCTGGAAATACATTTTACTAGATATTGAAACTTTAAGCATATTCTAAACATCTGAGTTTTGCCAAACTGATCCTTAAAATCTACGGGCAACTTGGAACCCTATCGACATTCTTAACCTTTTGACCCACAGTGCCCTGAGCACGTGCTAGCAATGACAGTTACGAAAACGCTCATAAAGAGTCATCAAATTTCCCCCTGCCGAAACAAAAGCGGCCAAGCTGACGTGGCAGGAGCTGCAAAAAAAGAAAGGAGGGAAAAGAGGAAAGGGAGCGACTCGAACTATGCAAATGACAGCACAAAAACCAGCGGGGAAAGGAGTCCTGGGAAGGAAGGATCGTTGTGCGTGCCTTGCGGTAATTTCTTGAGTGCATGTGGGACAAACACAAAAGCCACCGCATGCCACGCAGCCAGTCAAGCCGGCAGCTTCGATACGAGCGTTAAATGCAAATGTCCTTTGCATGGAGCAGCCTGCTCCTGGCACCCACCCACTCACACACACACTCACAGACCTGGAACACTCTCACACACAATTTCAATTAGCCCATCGATGGCTGATTGGCTCCTCCACTTGCCAACACACAGGGCCACCCAAATCGTGTGTCACCTAATGGCTGCAGGTTTATGTGCATATATCAAAGCGCTACCCCAGCCACTCTAAGACACTGAATTAGTGCAGGTAAAAGGAGCACATGTGGGAGGGGGTGGTAGTGTAGTGGGGATGCTGACAAGCAGCGATGTTGTTCAGGTGCAATAAATTCTTCAATCACAAGTATATATAGATAAACTAAAACCCAATATTTACTTGGTATATATATCTATATCATATTTTGGATAATAATATATTCATCTCTAACAAATCTGGAAAATATAACATACTAAAACGGATATTTACTTGGTTAATATATTTATCTCGATCCGTTTTGGAAAATATTTTACTTTTTTTTTAAATAAATACAATATTTTTAGAAGCTTTGCATCAACAACATTTTCGTTCGACGTTCCAAAACTTGATTTTGATTTATTTTAGAATCTTATAGGTACAAAAAAATAAAATATTTTGATTTAGAATTTATAAAAATTGTTCTTCGTACAAATATGTACATTTTCACTTTACATACTATTCTACCACTTGTACCTTACCCAAAAATTATTCCTGGGCCTGTTGTACCTTAACTAGGCAAATAAACAAAGTACCCTTCTCACCACTGTTCACAGGTGAGTGGATAGGCGGTGGGGGGACGAGGCCTCAAGCTGTGGGCTTTCGTCACATGGAAATCAATTTTCGTGCCGAAAACGAAATTGAATTTGTATGTGAATACAATTACATAAACTTCCGTTTCCGCTCCGTCATCGTCCTTGAGTTCGAGTGTGAGTGCGAGTATGAGTGAGTGAGTGTGTGTGAGTGCGTCTTTGTATTGAAATCGAATTATTCTGTTTGATTTCCTGCACAAGCCAAAACGATGCGGCATATGGCACCAGAACCGGAGTTCCGAATTTTCGGTTGTGGGGCTTTCGCTTTGGGTTTGGGCTGTGGGCTTTGGTTTTTGCGTTCGCTGCAGACTGCTCATTTCCTGCTGTAAAAGCAAAATCGAAGTGCTTGAAAAAGGCAGCCATCGAGGATGATTTGCATATGCCATTCCCCGCAATGCGTGTGCGGTTTGTCTTTGGGGTTTTAGGGTGATTTGTCGCCCTGCCAGGGCGAGTAATTAATGACATGCGTACTGGCCGGAGAGCACCTGATCCGGAATCCCTGAATCCCGTATCCCTGATCCGAGCCTCAGCCTGAGAATCCCACTTTCGGGTGGGCGGGGCTTTAGCTGGGTCAACACTTGTCGCGCACACCCGAAAATGATGTTGTCTAATGGCTGCTGGGCGCTGAGGGATTGCCAGGAACATGCAAAGCCACAATCAGGACATCAGGACATGGTCCAAGCCCGTGTTGTCCGCGCCCCTGATTCCGCACGGCCAACGTGTTGCTCCAGCTGCCGAACACTTAAAAAAATTTACCAAAGTTATTTTTGTAGCCGAAAAGTTACCAAATATTTACTGTTTCTATCTGGTGGCCATTGAATATAACCAATCACCACTAAAAACGCAAGGGACTTTAAGGATGTTTAATATATTTTATCATTAAAAATATTTGTATGATATCTCAATTATAAAATAACTTTTTTAATGCACTTTCGAATATAAATATTTTTATGATTTGTTAATTATAAAATAAATTAATGCACTTTCGAATATGACATTGCAAACTTATTTATTTAATTTGTATTATTAAACACAATTGAGTGGATTCCTAATATACAAATTGCTTTGCTATAGATAGGTTAAAAATTAAATAATTGTTCTTTAAATTTTGAAAAAGATTTCCATTTAAAGATCAGGTAAAAAATGCATAAATAAATGTAGTATTTTGAAAAAAAGAATTTGACTTATCATTCTAAGTATTGTAGGTAAAAATAAAAATATTTGTTAAATATAAATTTAAAAGTTAAGAATTCTCTTTTAAAAGTAAATAGTGATTTGGATACATAAGCTGCTCCCAGTCAGCGTTTTGAGTTTTGTGCACTGTTAATTTATGTAATGGGGCTTACGATGGAAACTTTCCGGTTAATTAAACGGGAGCTTTAAAACCCAGAACTTTAAGCGAAACTTTTGCCGAGTGTGGCTGCTGCTCCCGCTGTGTGTGTGTATTAACCCTTTGCCGCTTACCACAAGGGCAAAAGGACAAAAAGGGAAACGCCAGGAGCAGCCTGGGAACGGGAATGAGTGAGGGGTAATAGCAGCAGGCATGGCGCGTGTATTTCCGCTTCCTTTGCCGCAAATTGATGCAACCCTTTGACCTCTCCGCCACTCCTCTCTTGCAGATACGGCCGCTGGGTGACACGACGCGTGGCTGTCATCACCATCGCGGCCATTTGGCTGCTGGCCGCCTTCGTCTCGTTTGTGCCCATCTCGCTGGGCATCCATCGACCCGACCAGCCGCTGATTTTCGAGGACAATGGCAAAAAGTATCCCACATGCGCCCTGGACCTCACGCCCACCTACGCCGTCGTGTCCAGCTGTATCAGTTTCTACTTCCCCTGCGTGGTCATGATTGGCATCTACTGTCGGTAAGTCACAAAAGCCAAAAGGCAACCAGAAAGCCTGAAATGCCAGCCAGAGATTGGGCCAAAAGTTTTGCGTGCATAATACATGAAATGCATAGAGTAAGATATTTTTGCAAACGCCTTCAGCTGCAATTATGTAGATACAAATAGCCCCGAGTTTCGTACAGAACCACAAGGCAACGAAACTTCCGCCGGCCAAAAGAAAGTTTTGCCCAAATATCTCTAGAAATAAAAGCAGAGCGAGAACTCTTATATTTTTATGAGCTTAAAACAACACTAGAGGTTTAGATAAGTTTATATACCCTTTTTACGCTTTAACTTACTTTAATAAATATATAAATTTTTTTAATAAAACTTCTTAGCTTTAAATACAACTCATAAAATATTTTTTTATTTTTGTAGGGGAAAGAATCAATGAAAGAAAATAATACAGAATATTTTTATCTTTTATTTCTCAGTAGTTAAATATTTTAAGAGACCCTCTGCAAGCGCATAAAATGGCAGCCAGCAAAACAAAGAGGAAGTCGAGGCAGTAGTAGTAAAAAGTAAATAATAAAATGTTGTAAAAACGGACGAAGTTTGCTGCTATCGCATTGCTGAATATATCAGAAAAATGCCGCAAGGACCTGTGCCCCTGATGGCCGCCAGGCACGAGAGAAAAATGGGGAAACTGATTGTGGGCAAGGGGTTTTGGGGCTTTGGTTTGGAATGGGGGTGGTTCTGGGTGGGGGGCTCGGGTTGAACAAATAAGCGCACGCATTAGTGTCCGTCTAAGTAATCCCCAGGAGCTGGCAAAAGACTGGGGCGTGTGCAAAAGGACTAGGCAAGGACACAGCAACAGGATAGCGATAGCTGCTCATCAACGTTTCGGCCAGCGGCACGTTGCCATTTTGGCTTAACGAGATTTGCAGCCATTGGCCACTGGACTCTCATCTCGCATCCCGCATCCTTGGTTCTCTCATCAAATGGATCCCCTGTTGGCTGGCATCGGAATTTTCTATCAAATTTCGGTTAAATTGCAGAATAAATATACTTTTATCGTCATAATTTGTGCCTGGCCTGCTTCGGTCCTGTTATCCTTTTTATGTGGCCACTGGTCAACGAGCAAACAACACTCACAGCGACAGACAGACACATATGCTTGTTTATTTGTTGGCTAAGCAAGAGGGGCTAGGAGGGGCAAAGGGGGCGTGGCAGCTTAGAGAGCGACTCAAGTGGAAGATTGGATATGATAGTCAGACATATTGCGTATACGCAGCGTGTTTCCTTTGGTTATTGATGTGGACAGAGCCATTGTTGTCGGCCTTCATTTAATTGACATGCCAAGGGGCCCGGGTGAATAATTATCATATCAATTACAAGCCGTAACCAGTAACTACACAATCCGTAACCAGTGGCAAAATAAGCAGAAATAAGCACAAGTTGTGCCGAGCAACAATCGAGACCAGTTATTCATTAGGTGATAAATAATAGATGGTATCATGCTTACACGAGAAATGACAACAGACATTAAAGTGTAATGCCCAGCTGTTATTGTGAAAGTGTTCGGTACTCCTTTATTATGAATTCCAATTGTGCTTAATGACTTTGAATCTTTCATTGTTTCTTGAGATTAATTTTAATTTTATTGCTACTCAATAATAATATTATTATTTCTGTTTTGCTCTCTTCTTGTTTAAACTTTAAAATAAATATTAACTAAAATGAGGACAGTTAAAAGAGCACATTCAAAACTAAAAGTTAATTTATAGGAAATCCATATTAGTAATTAAAACTAAGGAAATATGGAGAAAAGGTTTAAATTAAAAAAATGTAGATGTCATCCTATTTATAAGCATTCTAATACTAAATAAAAAAAACAATAAATAAACATTCTCTATACACTCATAGAAATTTTTACCCTAAATCGCCCTAAAAAACTGACTTTTCGCCCGTGGATTTAGAAAATCGCCCATAAATCGTATCCGCTGGCGATTCGCCCGTGTATTTAGAAAAATTTTCTAAAAAATCCCGATGGAAATTTGGTTTAATTTAGGGTGATTTTTCTTGAAATAAGAAATATTTTCCTGTTTTTAGGGTGATTTGCCCTAATTTTAAGGTGTATTTTTCTAAAATTAAGGGCGAATTTTCTGTTTTTATAGGCGAATGCCCTAAAAAATTAGACAAATTAAAAAAAAACGTGTTTGAGCATGCTTAACTGAATTTGGGAAGCATGTTTTTTTTTTTATCGTCTATATTCTGGGAACTGGGACTGCTTTAATTAAACAACACCGGCGGAGGACACCGTTTCATATTATTGTATTGGTGTGTAGCTTATATGCGAGCCGCGTTAAGAGGGGGGCCCGATCTATACAGCACAGCCGTTAGAACTGAAAAATCATGTTTGTAAATGAATTAGGGAAATAAATATGAGGAGAAAAAACAACTTACTTTTTTTGGTCATTGCGAGAATCGAACCCACGACCTCTCGGTTTAGAGTCTAACGTCCTACCGCTGCACCACAGACCCCTCGCGCAAGACGACGAACAAACTCTGCACACATCTTATTTTCTTGAGGTCTACGTTATAATATGACTAAAGGCAACTAAACCGTATATTTTTTTTCCTGACGACTGTGACAATTAGTCCTGTTTTCTTGCCCGCAAACACAAAGTATACTTTTAACTCAGAACTCCCATACGTTTTTAAGGTTTAAAGACTACTTTAATTTAAAATTCGGACGAAAAAATGTCCTCAGTATTATAATGTTTACAAAAAAAAAAAAAAAACATAAAAATCAAGTTGAATCACACTGGGTTCGAACCCACAACCCCACGACCTTAGTCCTCATATAGCAAAGTTGAAAGCGCAAGTGATTAGACCGCTGGGCTACCGAATTTCACACTTTTGGAGTGATTTTTAAGGCAAATCGCCCTTGTATTTAGAAAAATTTTAGAAAAAAAATTAGGGCAATTCGCCGTTGGATTTAGAAAAGGTCAAAACGAAGCAAATCGAAAAAAATCGCCCTAAATATTAGAAAAATAGAAAAATTAACCCTAAAAATATTTTTTTATGGTCACCTGCCTTAAATTTATGGCAAATTTGTCGTAAAAATAGAAAATTTTTCTCAGTTCAAAGGCGAAAAATTTTTTAGGGCGATTTTCTAAAATGTAGAAAATTATTTTTATGAGTGTAGGAAATCAACCCTCTAAACCCCTTAGAAATTATATTTTAATTCGATAAACCCCCATTTCCTTCCCAGATTATACTGCTATGCCCAGAAGCACGTCAAGTCCATCAAGGCGGTAACCCGACCGGGCGAGGTGGCCGAGAAGCAGCGCTACAAGAGCATCCGGCGCCCAAAGAACCAGCCGAAGAAGTTCAAGGTGCGCAACCTGCACACCCACAGCTCGCCGTACCACGTGTCCGACCACAAGGCCGCCGTCACGGTGGGCGTGATCATGGGCGTGTTCCTCATCTGCTGGGTGCCCTTCTTCTGCGTGAACATCACGGCCGCCTTCTGCAAGACCTGCATCGGCGGCCAGACCTTCAAGATCCTCACCTGGCTGGGCTACTCGAACTCGGCCTTCAATCCGATCATCTACTCGATCTTCAACAAGGAGTTCCGCGACGCCTTCAAGCGCATCCTGACCATGCGGAACCCGTGGTGCTGTGCCCAGGATGTGGGCAACATCCATCCGCGGAACAGCGACCGCTTCATCACCGACTATGCCGCCAAGAATGTCGTGGTGATGAACTCGGGCCGCTCCAGTGCCGAACTGGAGCAGGTGTCTGCGATTTGACCAAAAGGCTGTCGCTGCTGTCCCAATCTCTCTGTCGGAGGTGCGGCCACCTGGCTGCCCTGCGGATGCGGTGGCCTGCGCGTGGACGACGATGACGATGGGGCGCTGACCACGCGGTATGTTCCATGAGATTCGGTCACGGCGGCCACCGCCACGATTGTGGAGACCGTGGAGGCCGCGCAGATGGAGACGGAGCTGCTATAGGCCGGGCTCCCCAATGGGTTCCTAAAACCAATGTCTCGATGTCTCGTCACCATCTCAGCTTGAACCGAAAAAGCAATCCCCCTACCCCTCCTACTGATCCAGTGGATATGGAAACCTGTAAGTATTATCAGCGCGTCCCAGAGACTAAGCAATCAACTATGCGTATACTTAATCGCACTAGTATCTAGCTGTAAATCCTAAGCAAAAAACAAAGAAAAGAAAGATATACTAAATCGAAACCCAACCCGAAACGTGATTAGGTCTAAGATCTTCAACCCGGCACCTAAGAGCTTCTAGTTAAGTTTCTGTTTGGATATTCATGGCGCTTTGGCTCCATGCAAATGCGATTATTATGGAGTGACACATGTCACTTCTCACTCACCCACTTACTCGCCCACTTACCCACACAAACAAACAAACAAACACTGCTCACTCACACTGCTAAACAGGGAAAAAAGACGAGAGGAAAACGCTGCATACATCGCGGCGCCCTCATATTGGAACAGCTCTACATTTGATTTATTGATGAGAATTTATGGCCATTGAGCGAACAGGGCTGCCAGCTGCACTCGTAAATCATGCAAAATGATTATTGTTGTTATTATTATTATTACGAAGGGGCAGGGCGCAGCACAAAAGCTGTAAAACCCCCTGCTCCTCATAAATGTTATGTTTAGTTGGAGTGCCACGATGATAGCGAGTTTTTTACGACCAAACCTTGCAGACTGATTTGAATTTATGGGTTGAAATCTGTTCCACGATGTTAATTAGGCCAACTGTGATTGACACCGGCAAACGAAAACAAGAGCAGCCAGTCGAAAGGTTAGCCTGCAGAGCCTTTTGGGAACCGCATTCTGAGTACTCTGATTACCGGCTGATTTAATGAGCGGCACCTGCGAAAACACAGCTATCAGCCGGTGGCATAATGAACATGTTGCCCATGGCATCGGTTTTCTCCCGTCTCTTGTCTTGTGGCCCAGATCTGAATTCCGGAACACTCAGCCACTGGGGGAAAGACAAATGTAAACAGTTTGCTCTTCGCGCCCAGATGAAAAATTATGCCAGCACAGGGAAAAATATCTAATTTATTAGGTCAGGCAATGTAAATACCAAGATAATAAATCAAACAATTATCGCAGAAAACAAGAGCTCATGCTAACATGAACCACGGAACTATTAAATATTATATTGTTGACAAAAAAAGGATTTCACTGCTTCTGATTTATTATATTCCTATATATTTTATTGCGATATGAGGAATTTGTTTTTGATTTACTATAAAGTTTTTCAATTTGTCGGCAAAAATGTAAACTATATTTAATTTAATTTTAAATTTTTAAAATTTATTACTATTATTATAAAAATATTTATTACTTATGTTTGTGTTTTTCTTAGTGTATCTCAGTTCGTGAGCTGTTTTCTCCCCCGGCACTCGAGTTTCAATTCCAGTTATTTGCGGATGCCGCAACTCTTGCCGAGACCCATTCCCTTTCGCTTCTGTTATTAATACAAAGTACTTACTCTACCCCTCCCCCTATCCAAGGCAATCCGCTTACAACTTTTTCAGTCTTTGTTTATTCGTTTCCCTTTCGCGCGCTCTCTCTCCTTTTCGTATTTATTTTGGCAGTTTATTAAAACTTTGGCGCTGCTTTCGTCATTTTAATTACAATACTCGAAACAAAGGCGAAACGGCATTTGTTATCGGGAGCCACGCCCCCTGCAACGCCCACCGCCTAACGCAACGCCCACTGGCCGGGAAATCGTCATTGCCACAACTGGCACGCAATCAATTCAACTTCAACTCCATCAACGATTTCGCACGTGTCGCAGGTTCTTCGTTTGGCTGGAAAGGCTTGAAATTCGGGGGTTCTGAGTGCTTTATGGCACACACGAAATGACCTTGCCCTCAAGCCCCCTTTTAACACACTCACCACTTCCCACATTCCATTTGGGTTTATTTGGGGCACAACCATTGACTTTGACTTTGGAATTTGTCGCGCCCAAAACCCTCGAAAAAAATGGCATGATAAATGTGCGTGGCGCGGCCATAAGCCTTAACCCATTAGGTTCTGAAATTTGTCTATATTCAAAATTGATGGAAATAAATTATCAATATTTTGGTAGAGCTAAGAATACAGAAAAATAATTTACTGAAGAATATGTGAATCTGAAAGGACCTGTTAAGCAGTTAAACTTCTTCAACCACTTGTCTTAGTATACCATGGGTTAAGACTCTACCCATAACTCTTTCGATACGGCTTTGCATAATTAAGATAATGCCCGGAAGCGTTGCTTTTGCCATGCCTTCTCGTTATAGAACTTCCTGTTTGTGCCACTTTGTTGCCTCCTTCTTCTTTTTCTTCTTCGTCCTTTTCCCCTTTGTTCATCTTTGATTTGCTAGGAGCAATTTGGTGATTGTGTCTATGGCTGATTCTGATTCCGATTCCGATTCCTTTTGTCCTCCCATCATGGAAATCCTTTTCAGGCCTGCAACAAGGTTGTTTTTTCTTACAGTTTCGCTTTTCGCGAGTTTTAATTGAAACATTTGACATCCTGAAACTCGATTTTTTGCCCGTCTCTCCTTTGGTTTTTCCAGCCTCAGGCTGTCGGCTTCTAATTGTATTAGCCAGATTCATGTTAGGCGAAGCCTACGTGACCAGCATGAAAAAGTGGTACTGTCTGCGTCGAGATTCTGGGAAATAGGGATCCCAGTAAGCCAAGCCAAGCACAACATGCCCTTTCATTAGCATAATCGCTAAGCAAAAAATAAACTAGTCGAGAAGAAATTCCCCCATTCGCTTGAAAGTCTCGACTTCTTTTGTTGTCTATTTGCTGCTTAAATAAACAGATTTCCCGTAATTGCTTTCGCAATTCCAATTAAAAGGAGAAAAAAACCGCATGCAGAGAAAATACAAATTCATGTCAATAACAGCAACAAACAATTACGTTTCTTTTTTTTTGTGCAAACAGTCGGAAAAACTCACTTAAATGAACGCGTTCAATTTAAAAATAACACAAATGAGCATAAAGCAAATATTTGGTCGCAATCGAATGTTCAAGTTAAGCTTTTAATTTGAAATTGGGGGAAAATTGTTTGACTTCTGACTTAGGTTACCCAATTCAATGGCCACAAATGTGTGTGTTTATTCTGTTTTCCCCGCTCTTGTAAGATTTCGGCGACTCTTCAATATTTCATGTCGCCTGTCTGACCTTGAAACATTACTCTGGCTGCAATCCTTTAGGCTAAGCCCATGTATACATAATGTATGCCATATATTCGGCATATATATTCAATTGGCAATCCTTTAAGCCCCACTTTAAAATCTGTTTGTACATCTGTTTGGGATTTTCCCGCTGGCCGAGTGTTAAACTCGAATCTCGAGCCGAAAAAGTCAAACGATGAATGTCAACATTTCGCCTAAATTGCATGTCGATTGCCAAAGAGAGCTGAAAGCGGTCGTCTGCCATTAGGAAAGGGGCATTGATGTTGACTGGTTTGGGCCCACTCACTCTTTGATAGATTGATTGATTGATGGATGGATGGATGGATGGTCGAATGGCTGGATAGACGGCTAAAGCGAATTTTCCTGCTTCGCTGGCTTCGTTTCTCATATTTTTTCCTGGTGTGTGGCTTTTACCTTGCCACGCCTTCTAAGCACTGCCAACTATCAACAGTTGGCCGCCAAAAGTTTTCGCAGCTACCTTATTCTCCCTTTTCTCCTCGCTTGGCTTAACTTTGGCTATATTTTGGCATTTTTATAACTTTTACGCCTGCCAGTGTTTATTTTGCTTTACGACTTTCCACAAATTCCCGCAGTTTCAGCGTACACACAGTCCTGCCTTCTTATTTCTTCCGCTTTTCCTTCATTCCGCTTTTCATCTTCCTTCTCAGCCAGCGCTATCTAAATCTTTTCCTGGCGCGTGTCATTTTGTAGCCTACTCCTTGGGCTGAGCTCGCATTCCTCGCCACATTGCGTATACGCAACGTATGCCCGCGAAAACGTTTTATTACCAACATCGCCTGGCGTGCTAATTTATACGTTAGGGCCCGGGTAGGCCTTCGTTTAATGCCCCCAGCAGCCCCAGTCACGCCCCAATGGATCATAAAAACACAATTTTAATCACAATTTCTTTCGCGTGCCTTCTCCCTGGCATTTTCGCCTAGGCAAATTAGCGAAAACATTTCGATAAATGCAAAGAATTGCGCATATGAGTTTTGGGTAAACCAATTGCGACTTGGAATATTTTTTTCGGGACTGCTTTAATTTATTTAAATTGTTTACTAGAGGCGGAAAACATATTTTTTGGTAAAATAATTTTAAATCTGATTAAAACACACATTTTAAAACTTCTAAAACTTTATTATAATTATCATGCAAATATGTGCATGTTAAATACAATAAAGCTTTTAATAAAAATGTTATTCCTAATTTTATAAACCATAATTTCCTGCTGAAATGTTTATAATATTAAATTAAATGCCTTATTAAAATCAAATGAATCAATAAAAACATTCCTACGCCTGTTTTGGCAACAAGTACAGTTCACTGCGGATGTGGCTGCATTGAACTTGACATTCAACCTTCAACGTGCCCCGGACAGCACTGCGTATACGCAATCTTTGACATTTGGCAACTTAAAGTGCTTTAAGCTGCCTCTAAGTCGCTGGCCAGCAACTTTCATTTGATTCTCAGCTTCTTGCTGCCGCCCGCAGAAAGTTTTTCCCCCTTTCCGTGCGTCTTTTTGTCGTCGAGGGCGGAAAAAAAGGGGGCGGAAAACTTTGGGGCACGGACAAA